TTCTTTTTCAATCATTCTGGGCACATTTCCTTCTCCACATTTCCATTTGTAAAAACTATCCCTTTGCTTGGGACAGTGTCATGTTATGAAGAAAGAACAGCAAATTTTATCCTTGCCTGAATACAACTTGTGTTTTGTTCCATCTTATTAGACTTAATTTCAAAGACCAATACTCTCCCAAAGCCCCTCCAAAACTTAAAAAAGGATGCACTTCAAATATAAATGCATTTATGCTTATGTTCCTGTATTATACATAGGATAATTCTACCAGCTCCAGTAACTACACAAGGAAAGAATCAGGCCCACAAAGCCAAGTTTTTACCATCTACCCTGCTCCTGATAAGCTGCTACATCAGTGCCAGCAAATTAGTATTGCAGTCAGCTCACCATCAGCTCTTAGCAGCTTCCATGCTGTGGGACTTCAGCATCTTCTGCTTCCTGGATTCTTCCCCTTTAATTGTGTATTCACTGTTTATTTACACAGACATTTTCTAAGGAACTGTAAGAAAGTTTAATAGGTTTAACTTTGCCAGATTTCAGTTGTTGCATTTATTCTGCTTACTAAGAATAATTTGCTGTTTTGCAAACTAGTTTTTAATCTTCCCATGGCCAGTATTTGAATATTTCAGGGACTGCACCAGTGTTACTAATCCCTAACCCAGCTGTGAGCTACTAGTGCCACCTGGAGTTTAATAGCTATACATAAAGCACACTGAATCCCAAAGATGCCTGAAAACATTTTAGCACACAGCCTGCAAAAGTATGCATCCAACAGCACCAATCTCCATGCAACCTCTCTGCACAGTGGATCTCATTTCCAAAGTCTGGAGACTGAAAAAGCTCAGCACAATGAGCCAAGCTGAGATAGTCAGAAGAGCTCAAAGCTACAGGCACTGGAAACCTCAGTCCAAGAATGGACAGCAAAAGCTACCAAGTACTATTGAAAACCTAATCTCAGGCAAGGTTGGTAAACACTTGAAAAGCCTAGTCTTCAGTATTTTTCTGAAGTCAGCATCTTGATTGCCCACCCACACTGAAAGACATAGATCAAAGTATATCTTTATATCAACCATGAAGTCAAAGCATGAAAATAAGTGGTTACTAAAGCAGCTCATACTATTTCAGATACAAGCTGTCTCCTAATATCACTTGCCTTTGGATACAAGTAAAATAGAGGTATTCTGGACAGCCTGGTGCTAAAATTGTAGGCTCACTTAACCAGTAAAACAGAATAATCCAACTGGACTGCAGCAGAACTGTACCTGTGGTAGCAGAGACAAGCACAGCTTTAGTAGTGATACAGTAGAAAAAAAACAAAGCAAAGAGCATGTTGGAAATACACAGTATAAGCAGCTTAATAAATCCAAGTCCTTGGAATCTCCTAGGCAAGCAATCAGCTTGTCAGGTTTCGAAGTTCAGGTTTTTTTGTTTTATTCCTGCACATTTAAGAGAAGACATCAGAAAAGATGTGAAGCACTGCTAAATACAACTGTAACTTGGTAGGGATGATGAAACTGGCTGTCACTGTGCATCATCATGTTTGACCTCCAAGTATTTCAAGAAATCAGCTGCAGTAAAAACATGACTCCCCCAGCTGCCAGCCTTCATTTTCATATTCAGCATGACAATTTGTTTAGCTTAGTTCGGCCATCACTATCAATAAAAAAATGTGGCAAATCAAAGAGCAGTTAAGGCTAACAATGGTTAACAACCTGAATAGAGCAGAGGTCCTTGCACTATTGCTGTACTGACTTTATAGCAGCAGGAAAACATCAAAGATGGTCCGTATTTTGTACTCATAAAATAAGCACAGCTAATACAGGAGTCACTAAAGGAACCCCCATGGATTCACATTGGGGTTTTTTACAGTCACCTTTCCTATTAAAACAGCAGCTTGAGACTCCCTCTAAAGCTCAAGAAGGATTTAAATCCACTTCCTGAATAATCATGAGCTCTGGAAAGGCAAAATTCACCACGTGCAAAACCCTCCTGGTACCCAGGCGAAGCAAAAGAACTTTTAGCCCCACAGGGATCGTTTCAACAATCTACAAGCAACTGCAGAAAGCAAATGTGAGCATGTTGGGTTGTATCTACTAATCACCACAGGAAACATTAATATGAAAAGTTCACTTCTATTTTCAGTTTATTTCATGACATCTAAATAGATGAAATTATTAAAGCATTAGCACAGAAAAATGGTACCACTGCAAATATAACACACAGCCAAATATTTTAATGGTCAGCCTCTCTCTCCAGCTATACTTCATACCTCCAAGTAACAAATAGTTTGTGCTGCATTTGTATTTTATGCAAGACTAAACACTGATGGAAGGGAAATGTTTACTCACAGTGCAAGATGACCTACAACTTTAAAAAGCAACTGTTAGAGAGCGTCTTTCATAAAGGTATTTGCAACCAGGCAACTACAAGGGCTAACACCTATACAACACAGTAGGTGAGGCTATATTTAGCTGAAATTCAACACCAGCACTAAAACAAACATTGTTTAAGCAATATTTACTTTACCTACAAGAAGGTAAATTTGTCTGAAGGTGAATCAAAATAAAAAGAGTGAGCATTCCAATAGTCAGAAGAGATGCTGCTCAAAGGCAAACTTCTGTTATGCAAGCACAATTTAAGAGAACAGCTTTCTCCTGAATCACTAGTACTGTTTTTCCCTTCTCTTGGCCTAATTATGCCCTCAGGGATAACCTCAAAAAAAGACACTGAACCTACACCCAAAGCAACCAGTTGTTGCTAAATAAATTAGATTATCTTTTTACTACATTGCACTTGTTTTGGTGGGAATGGTGCTGAGGGAAGGAGGGAGTTGTTTTGTTTTATAGCCACATAAGCCTGTCTTGGTGTGTTATTTGCAGAAAAAAAAATATTATATGACACGTGAATAAAGAAAGGCAGCTTCTCTTCTTCACTGTTGAGTGACTATTAAAGACTTGGGTGAGCAGCAGAGGAAAAGAAGGGAGGGTTGTGTCAGCAAGAGGCAGTCATAGCCATAACGGATACAGACACAATAGTTTTAAGTCTTTGAAACTACAGATTTATGTTATCTACTAGTTGATCCAATGCTAGCACTAACCCGAATGTTGAAGGAAGGGAGAAATACATATCTACTTATCTGGATATTTCATTCCTGTCCTAGAGTATCACAAGGAAATCTGAGTTCTCTGGGGAGCTTGCTTTTGTGTCAAAAAAGTTACGGTAGGAAGGTGACCTTCCCTACAGTATTGTTTTAATTTTCCAAATGACCATTTTTAATATATCATTAGAAAAGCAGTTTCATTCCCTCCCCAAAACCAAACCAATACAGACTGCGTCAGGAAGGGAGCCAGGGTGAAACTTCCCTGCAACTACCACAGCACAACACAGAGCCAGCACAGAGCCCTGCACCACAAAAAAGCCCGGGCGGTGTGCTGAAAACCCCCCGCTACGGCTTGCCTCAGAAGTCAGTACCACAGGCAGTCTCCACAGCCCACCTAGGGGTCCCTGTGTCCCAAAACACTAGCGGAGATATCTGGGGGATGTGGTGCACCCTTCTAGAGTCAGCAGCCCCTCTAACCTCTCAAAACAGGGCACTTGCAGACAAGCGTGCTTACCTCCCCGCTGCCCATTTCTAGACAGACATGTCTCAGCAGCCCGCTCCCTCGGGCCTGCTAGCCAAATCCACCTGCTCTCTAAACTTCCTTGCAGGCAGATAGAACAATTAGACTACTGGATCAAACATAGACAGTAACTAAATAAATGAATAAATAAAAATAAAAGACTGTAACAGTGCTCTAGGTGCCCTGCAGCACGCTGCAGTGTAACTGCCACCACATTACAGCCTTCAGACTTGAAGCTGAAAAGATGTATTGAACCAGCCTCCTACAACCCCTCTGCTGGTCCCAGACAGCAGCAGCACTTTAGATATGAAGAGGTGGCAAAGCCACTGCCACTCTTTGCTAAACCTTTGCTTTATTCCTTCAGACTACAAATTTAAAGAATGGGTCTATTTTATAGCTGTGCCAAGCTTAACGAAAAAAGCCAACGACCAGACATGACAGATACTTGATGGGCAGAAGGCAGCACTGGTCACCTAACAAAAGCTCAAGCCAAAGAATGACTGAGATCCTGGGGAGCAAAGGTGTCAGGATCCCACAGCTGCTGGACTCACCCAAGACATGGTTAGAATTTCAGAGCCCAGCTCTGTAGCAAGCTGCTTCCACTGCAGTAATCAGAAGTGCATTCGACAGTATCTCTTCTGATGCTTCTGAGATTTGGCAAGCAAGAAAATGAGCACACACTCATCCTAAGAGATACAAGAAATTAGACTGAACTCCATTTAGTCTCCAAGTGAGCAGCACAGGGAAGCTCACATCACCCTCCTCCTGGCTCTGCCACTCAGAACTGAGGCTTCTGAACCTCAGGGCTATCAGTCCAGCTCTACTCATGCATGTGCTTTGTTTCAGAAAAGCGTTAAGTTCATTAAAACCATTCTCTACAGCTCATAGGAGAGCTACTGATCTAACCATCTAGTGGATTGTTAGTTTGAACTGCTGCTTCTTCTGGAAATAACATTTCAGTAACAAAATCAAAGTCTGAAACTGAAATAAAAGGAGGGGACTAAGAAGCAGAACAGAAATGCAAAGCTGATCTTTAATAGTCTTTGAGAAACCTACACTCTGGGAGCTACAGGCATGTGGGACTATCCTCTCTCAAGCTGCCTTAGCAGATACATGAAACCCTGTGAACTCTGATACATTCTCCACATATTAGAAGATGCTTCATGCTGAGACACATTAGCCAGCTTTAGATTCTTCCCCTGCAATCAGGTACAAACAGCCCCTGCCTAATCTCTGTCCTGCCTCCGGTTACAGCCTACCATGACTGAGGGCCCAGAGCAGTATCTTTAACATAAAGAACAGCATCTTTCACTTGCTCTGTTATGTCTGCCACTGAGATTTCAAAGCCTAGTCCATCATCTGGTCTTTGCAGAACCTCACCTTGTTTTGTGAGTGCTTCTCTCAGAGCTGGAGTTACCATCTCTCTCTTTTCACCCTCCTCCTTCTTCCCAGTGTTCTCTTGAGTCAAGCTCATTCCAACATCTCCTTCCTCGAGCTCACGTTCTCTCTGTTTAAAGACAAGGAATTACAACCACTTAGATTCAAGAATCTTGTTTTAAACACTGTGACACAGTTCAGCCACAGATCTGATAAAACCGACACAAGTGCCCACGTGAATTCTTGCATTTGTATAATCCTGCATTTTATCCATCTTCCCATCAGACTCTGAACCTTCAGTAAATTAGGACAGTAAATTAAAAAACAAACAAACAAAACAAAACCAAACAAACAAAACCACAAAAAACAAACATGAACACACTAATTTGTTCTACTACCACAGCTATAAAATTCTCCAGGACATTTTAAGAAACAAGGTGTTTGAAGCTCATTTGAGAGTGAGAGGGACTCTGGGATTTAAACCCAAGTATTTCATGATTGCACAACCTCATCTCTCCACAGAATGCTAACCATTTTGTGCCTGATACACAACTGCCTGGAGTGACAAGCAACTGTTGCAGTTATTTGGGACAGGTCAGAGAAAAAAGCCACATCACTACAACGACTTAGCCCAGGAGTTTACAGAGTAAAAGTTGTGCTCTCCACAGGTCACCCTAAGGGAACAGTCGTGTACACCACCAAATTTCAGTGATCACCAAAGGCCCTGCAAGAAAATGCTGTTCCCCCTCTGCCCCACAGTCAACTCCAGACATGAGCTACAGCATCCCAAAGTTTGTCTTCCAGCAGATGCTGCTTTATAGATACAGTTTAGGGCTTGGAGCTTACTTAAAACCAAATGCAAGAATATCATATATTAGCATAAAGTTACAAGCAGGAGAAGCAAACCCTTGCACATAAGAAATTGCGAATCCCCCGCTGTATAAGTGTCACTTCTGAGACTTTATGGGTATTTATTGTTTCATGTCTGCACAAAGAAGCATGAAAGTATAAATAATTACTTTGACGCAACTTGTAATCTGTCAGTCCTTTGTGGCTTTTTTTTTTGAAATATTAAAGGATTTATGGATAAGCAACAAGCAAAAACCAACAGAGGACATTTTGTTTTCACAAAACTGAGGCTATTTCACATCCAAGTCTCTTTTGTGCCAAAGACATCAAGAAGTTCATACAAATGCTTCCAGTTTGAGTCTACCCACCAACTGTTAGCATCACTAAGGAAACCAGTGCTCCTGACATGCCAAACTGTGTTCTTCACAAACAGGAAAAGTAATCTGGCTGTTCCTAGACAGACAGATTTATTTTATACCTGAGCAAAATTTCAGAAAATAAAGGTCCTGCAGAAGCAAAAAAAACCCCACCACAACACAAAAACAAATAACCACACAAAAAACCCCACACAGTGTCAGAGATTCAAAGACAAAACAGAGTTTCTAATAAACACTTGAGAAGGGAATAGGAAAGTAAAATGTTTAGGGACAGAGGTTATTACCTTTCCTACTCATTTTGAATAAAACTTTGCTCACAGTTTCAGGAAGGCTGTGCAGGAAAGTATTCTCTAGTGACCAGTAACACAATGTGGTCCTTACTGAAGGAGAAAGCTGTTTCCATCTTCTACTTCCCTTCACTCAGTTTTCTGAGTTTTTAGATAGGATTTCATTGGTTTCCATAACACATCAAAACTTTCCTGAAAGGCTAGCTCTATTAAGTACTTATAATTTGTTGGGTTTAAAAGCTCATTTCTTGAGATTTGATCTTCATTTATCAGCAAGATGCTTCAACAGTAAAACTAGTATTACTGGAAAAGCTTCTTGTATAAGGAAGGAAGGAGATAATATTTAACAGATGAAGATTAAGCCCTAAATAAAGAGCTTCTCCTGCCACAAGCTATCATTTAACCCAGAACTAGGCCCAGCCATCTACTTAAAAAGGAAAGACACTGTCTTAGCACAGATTTGTCAGCTACTCAAAGCTAAATGCTACACAAGATTTACAAGTGGACACATCCTAGCCCATCTACTCTACAATCTCATGCCAGGTTAATTCTCCCAGAAGAACTAAATATGCATTATGGAGCACATCATAATATTAAAAATGCAGCGATTGACTTAAGTGCAATGAGATTCACCATCCAAGACAGCCTTCAGTTATAGAAAGTCTTTCTGAATTTAAAGCGTTTGCATTTCTACCTCCCTGCTGTTCCCGTTACTGCAATATCTGAGAAAAGCACCTAAACATAAGAACAACAAGTAAAATTGCCTTACTGGCAGAGCAGAAACACATTTCAATAATCATTTTTCCCCTCAGAGATGATAATATTTTTCTTCCCCTTCATCCTGATGTGAAAGTCTGTAAACAAAGTAATCATTTGTTTTTCTCTGAACTGCAATACCTGACTTGTTCAGTTTGGCAAGTGACTGGCTTCAGATATTTCTTGTGGGAAATGGAATTCACAGCCCCAAGAGTTTTACTTATTTGCTTAATAAACCTGTCACATCTATTATTTAGGGTTTGAGTGGAGAGAACAAAGTTAACTTTGCACAGAGCAAACTTCTCAAGTTCTGGTGATTTAGCAGAAAGCCCAGTAGTAAATCCAAGGCAAATTACTGTCTTTCCATAACAAATCAAGCAAGCAGTGACAAGAGCCAGCTTTTCATGCCCTTGAAATACTTCACTGCCGAAAAGCTGAACAGTCATCCTGTGGTCCCTGTTCACAAGAGAACCCACAGATGAGAAAGCCTAGGGATACACTCTGATCCCTCAGTACCTCAAGGCTCAGCACATCTCCTGCTGCAGCTTGCTGGAGGGTTTTTTTGATACTGCCATTGAAACAGACCTAAATAAGAGCAATTGAACCTCAGGTGTAAGGACTTATGATCACCTCTTCTACAGGTGAAGGGAAAAAAAAAAAGGACATCTCTTCCCTTTTACTGCCATACAGGCAGAGGCAGCACATACTTTACAGGCAGAAGCACATTTCTGATGGGTCAAGAGCAGAGGGTATCTGACAGGGCAGACAGGCAAGGACCTCAGCATTCCCTGACAAGGCAGAGGTGTCACTGCTCCTTTGACAAATCACAGTTCAAGTGTTTCAAAGGATTTCCTACAAATATGCCTACCAACTCATCCACAGCCACATCCAAATACGACCAACAAGATATGCTACTGCCACTTCTTTCAAGTGCGCTCTCCCCAAGATGTCAATGTGCCAAATATCTCCCTGTGTTTTCCATTTTATTACACTAAATACTCTTCAGTCCAGTACTGCAGGGGTGAGAAAAATAAAAGGAGACACCTAAACTCCATACAAAGACATATTCCCTAAATTAACTTAACTTAGCATTTTTAGCCTCATGGTTCTATTTCTTGATGTGCAGTCACTGAAAAAAAAAAAAAAAAAAAAAAAATGTTCCCCAAGAAGTTTTTACTCCCAGAAGGAAAACAACACCCAGAATATCCCAGTTTTGACTAAATTTCTTTCCTACTTAACCTCTCAGTGGTCAAACAAGAGGGAACCCCTGGCCTTGTCATGATTTACAGCTTCATCCATCAAAAGGCTCCAGGATCTTTTAACCAATGAAAGGAACAAACATTAAGAAAATAGTAATACATCAGGGGCTGGAGCCAGGACTAACAGAACCAGCACTAAGGGAAAATCTTGGCAAAGCTATCAGGAAAAGACTGCCTGGCAGCAAGAAATATTATTAAAACTTTCCCAGAAGAGTCATTAGATGAAGTACTAAAGTTTATGTGTTACATGAATGGTTAAAGTTCACACCAAGCAGACCTCTGGAAGCAGTGCTCCAGTGGCAAGAGGACAGCTAGAAAAGCTGACAACTCTTGCCCTAGTTCAGGCTCATCTGTCAATGGCACCACAGGCAAGAACCACATGGAGGTTTTTTGAAAGTTGATTAGACATCAGGCTGCCCAGAGGAACAGGACTTGTCTCCTTACCAAGCCAATTTCCTGACTAAAACACACGGAAAAAGAATGGGACAGGGAGCAGACTTCCATAAAAACGCTCTTGAACACAAGAGGAACAGAAGACTGCTAGTGTACCGTGGGGACCTTCCTGCTCCAAGTACAAAGCTCTGGCTGTCACAATCCAACTGTAACAAACAGAGACAGAACTGCAATTTGTTCAGTCCATGGATGAAACACCCTGCCAATCTTACAGCAACATGGGATATTCTAACTGCTGTCAGTCACCAATACAAGTGGCTTTGAACACTTGCAAGCAAAGATGAATATTGGAAACTTGGATTGAGTAATTGGTGAACCAGCAAACACCCCAACAGCAAGAAAAGTTATTAAAAATAACTACTAGAGTCTACATAATCACAGGCTACATACCCACTGCACATATCACTGCCCAGTTAAGCACAAAAGCCTGAACTGAAGCAAAAAGCAGACAAGGGTTGAAAGCATGACAGCTAAGAGATGGGGAACTTGTCAATCCATTACCTTGCTGTGACTGAAATAAGAGGTGGCTTGATCAAAAGCAAAAACTGTGGCATGTGTTTTCAAGTGTCTCTAAAGTGGGGAAAGCCCCTGAGAAGTTCTGACTAATACCAAAAAAAAAAAAAAAAAGACCAAAAAACCAAAAACAACTTTGAAGGGAGATTTTTTTTTTCTCCTGAAATAGAAACCTTTGTAAATTTTCAATAGCGAGCTGGAAGGAAGTATCCATCCACATCTACCTTACTATGGTGTAGAAAGACAGAAGGTCCCTTGTGTTATTCTGAAGCAGCAGGTACTAGCTGCCATTCAAAGAACGAACGCTATTCAAACAGACCTGCAACCCAGGGCATGTAGAGAGAATCCTGTGCTTTCTGTTGTTTGAAAAGTCAATGCTGATATTTTTGAGCATATGCAGCAGCATTTTAAAACCTAAACCCATGCAGACAAGCAATGACAGAAGACTTATGCTGCTATCCAATTGAATCAGCCTGAAAGGGCACTGCACATCTTCTGCGAAATACAGACGGATAAGTGATCCCACTAACATCCATTTTCTTGTAGGTTCAACATCGGCCAGAATCCTCAAAAAAATTCCCAGATCACAACTCCAAAAATATATCTGCAGTGCTACAGGGGGGTTTAAGTTTGCTT